GGCTCGAAGAAAGTGAGGGGCGGTCAAACCGAAACGTGGCATCAGTATTTGACGTCACTAACCTATAGTCTGAGCCATTTTGGTAGATGCAGACCACTTGGTTGGTTTCCACGTGACTATCGTAATCACTGGTTGGAGACTCTTGGTGACATGGCTCAGAATCCATCACAGTAGAGTAGATGTATACACTCTTTATCTTCTTTTAAACCATGAGATTAAAATTGCTTCATACCTTTCTTTCTACAAACTAATTCTTTCTTCTTGTATTATATTCTTATACACAATCTTTCTTTTATATATTAATACCATTGAAGTAATTACCATGAATTTGTTGTTCATCTTGTTGTGTTAATGAGGTATGGCAACTTGGACCGATGCATATATGTACCTGCTCCTACGCTGTAGTTGACTGACTGACTGATTATTGGTCTAAAGGCTAAGTGTTCGTCCATGTGTGCGAAACCGAAGTTTCTTGGTTTGATTTCTTATATCTAAATCATCAGTACCGATTATTGAAATGTCATCTACTGTAACAAAACAGATATTCATTTCTTCTACGTTTCCAACAGTCGTCGAACTTGGATCCGTTCAACAACAACGAAACAACACACAATTCAATGACTGAATAAAAATCTTTATATACACAAATAATATTCATCTTAAAATGAATTGAATGAATCATTGAATTATTATACACTTCAGTGATTGAAATCATAAGTCAGGTAGAGCTAGATCACTATGGAAAACCTGGAAGCACTGAACTGCCGTTTCGTCCTAGCATGTGACTCCTCAGCAGTCCCGTATCCCATGAGATCCGAACCCACGACTTATCAGTCTCGCGTCAGGTGCTTAACCAACTAGACCACTGAGCCGGCATCCAGCGGTGTTATTGTCCAACTTTAACCAATCCACAAAGTTGTACTACCGTACACTGATGAAGAGTCCCATGCTAGGACAAAACGGCCATCCAGTACTTCCAGGTTTTCCATGATGGTCTAGCTTCAATTAATTCATGATTTCAATCAATGAAATTTCTAAGAAAAAAATTTCCACAAAACTCCTTGTGATATTATTATACACTTGTTTAATCTTATTCATCATTATTTTTGTTCATAATTCAATCTTGATTATCATTTAATATAGATTGTTCTATTGTTTTTTGTTCATTTATAAATAATAATGGATTAGGTGTTATTTGTATTGAATCTAATAATGAATGTATTGGTTTAGTTAATGTACTTGCTTGTGCTGCTACTGCAGCTGCTGCAGCTGCCATTACAGCTGCTGTTGCTGTACTATGCTGTTGTGTACATACCATTTCATTCATTATATGAGGTATTGTATTATTATCATTATTCTTATTATTGGAACATTCATTGATTGATTTATTGAGAGATAATGTATTAAAATTTGTAGTTGTTATCGTTTGATTCATACGTGGTACATTAGTAAAATGACGATTACGTTTTATTGTATCCATAATTGGTTGTTTATATTGTTCAGCTAATAAACGTTGATGATGTTGACATAATTGTGGATAAGCATCATACATATTTTTATAGATTAATGTATTATGATTAATCATTTCTGTAACTGGAGTTAATAATGATGAATCTTTTAGATGTATATTATTACTACTACTAGTAATACTACTATTATTATTATTATTATTATTATTATTCGGATATATATTAGGCATAGTTCCTTCAATTGTATCCGTTGTTATGGGTAATATATAATTATTCATATTGATTTTATCATTATTGATGATTGATGATGTAATCAGTGAATGATTATTATTATTATTATTATTATTATTATTATTGATTGTTGATACAAAATATCCTGAATCAGTTAAATATGGCATAACAACAGACTGAATATTATTATTACTATTATAAGTAGTATTAGTAGTAGTATAAGTAGTAGTAGTAGTAGTACTAATAGTATTTGAATGATGCATTGGTAAACAATTAAATAAATGTATAGGTGATGTTAATGGTTTCATTTCATTATTATTATTATTATTAATACATTCTAATGAATGATAATCAATTAATTGATTATTTTTTTTATTTTTTCTTGATTTCATATGGATTCTATTCAATTTGTTACTAAGCATTAAAATATATTTGTTACTAAGGCATTTTTGTATTATATAAATCAATAAAATTGGATCAATACAAAAATGTAATATAATAATACGTGTAATAAATAATAATTGTTTATCATTAATTGAATAATACGTCATAATAAAATGATATACAATTGGTATACATAAACTAATCAATTCGATCAATAAAATCAATATAATCAGTATTATTGATTGATTAGGTAATTTTAATTGATATATCATACAATTTCTATGATTAATATAATATAGAATCATATATAATAATATAATAAATGATATAATCATCATCATTTGTAATAATAATGGGATAATAATTAAAAGAATTGATGATATCCATGTAGAAGTAGTAGTAGTTGGGATGACATCAGGATTCATAGGAGTTGATGTTGTCAACGATGATGATGATATCGACGACAATGATGCCGATAATGATGTTGTTCTCTTCATAGAACATGTCAATAATGAATGTAAACCATTAAATAATAGATTTATATGATTTGATTTGATTGATTCTATCGATGTCAATTGACTATGATTAGATATTGATTTATTGATTATTAATGAATTTGAATGTATAGGTGTTTGAAAGAAAAAAGCAATCAATAATGATGTACCAGCAGCTAATGCCCATGGAATTGAATGAATTAAAGCAATATATGCAAAATTTTGTTGAAAATAAATATGATTACTATCATGATTATAAGTAGTATGCTTATTAGTAGTATTATGTATGATAGTAAATAGAAATCGTTTATAGAAAGAATATTTAGGTAATTGAAAACTTGTAAAATCTATAATGATGATGACCATTTTCATGATGATTTGTATATAGAATATAATAAATGAACATAATATAAATATAGTTACTAGGTATAAACGAACACATAATAGTGTATCGGTGGCTAATGAATTCGATAATAGACATATAAATTCATGATGATATGTTATATCATAGGTAGTATCTAAGGTAGTTTTTTGTATTAATGCAATACATATAACTAATAATTGTAATAATGATAATATAATACCAAGGATACCTAAATGTATTGCTATAGTATAACATATATAAATATATTGATGATAAATAATCATGGAATTTCTCAATATGATACATTTTGGATTAGTTATCAAGTGTTCATCTTCTTCTTCTCGTTGTTGTTGTTGTTGTTGTTCTTCCCGTTCTTGTTCTTCATCATCATCATCATCATCTTCTTTGTGATCTTTTTCTTGTTCTATTCCTTGTTGTTGTTCATCTTCATCTTCTTGAATAGTTGGATCATTAACACAATCACTTAATCTAGGAGATTGATTTAATAAAGTATTATATGAATGAATTATAGATAATGGTTGTTGTGATATATGTTGTCTTTGATTTGTATTTGTTTGAAGATGTACACATTTGTGTTGTTGTTTCGAATACCTTGATGGTGTATATAAAATATTTGAATGAGATAAATAATTGTTATTCTTGTTGTTACTGTTGCTATGGTGGTGGAGGTGGTGCTGTTTGTTACTGTTGTTGTTTTTGTTGTCATGGGCATCTTCATTACTACAATCACTAATCATATCATGATTAGGAATTATTTTCCAATCATTATTATTATTATTATTATTATTAAATGAATCAATATCGGATTGTTGATTTGTAGAGCATAGTAACCAATGATGATTAGATGGTAATGATTTATTACATGAATATAAATGATCATGTTCATTATATTGATTCGATTGATTTATAATAGATGATTTGATTTTTTTACTTTTTTTATGATTATGTAATAGAGATGAATGTAAATCACAATTAGAATTTAGATTACAACATGAATATGATAAGTTTTTCATATTAGAATTTATTATATTACTTAAATTATTATCTTTATGAGTAGTAGTATTCTTAGTGTGATTATTACCTTTCAATTGTTTATATACACATGGACAATTAGTCAATGGGTTTAAATCAGTAATACACTGACATGGGATTGATTGATTTTTAAAAAGATGATTACATAATATATCTTTATATTCATAATTAGTAGTAGTATTATTAGTAGTATTGGTAGTAGTCAATTGTTTATTTTCATGATTACTATGATTACATGAACTATTGAAATACTTGTGATGATCGTGTAAACATTTCTGATAATGACGAGCATGAAGATGATGACGAGGATGATGATGATGATGATGATGATGATGTAATCGATAAGATAAGAAAACAACTAAAATAATATTACATACTAATGATATAGAACTAATAATCAATGTAAATAAGATCACATTCCAATCTATGGTATGTAATGTATCACTAGGATGATGATAACCATGATGTTGATTTGAATGAATGAAGTTCATAGATGAACCGTTACTCAATGGTTTCATTGATAGATTGGATTTCATATAAGGTAATGATAATAATGATGATGATGAGGAGGAGGAGGAGGAGGATTGCATAATACTATTATAATGATGTTCATCATAATCATGATCAGAATTATTGATTAATTTATGAGTATCTTGTAATTCAATATGAATAGTTTCATGAGATTTATTGATTATATTGATTGGATAATTGAAATGAATTATTGATTTATTCTTATTATTCTTAGTATTAATGATTGGTAATTGATTAAATTGTAATGGTTTACGACCTTCTGGTGGACCAGATGGGATACGATAACGTGTACCATTAGATGTAACAAGAAAACCATATTCATCAATATAAAATTTTCCAGTAGCCAGTAATGATGGTAAATCAAATTGTTTATTATGATTATAATAAGATATATTTGAATTGAATTTTAAGCGGGTTTTATCATAAGTCATTATTGTTACTATGGTGTATGTATAAGTTTAGATAAAGATTAGTTTACCTTAATGGATGAATAGAAAAAGAAGAAAGTATGAATTATGTTTTAAATGTAATTTATAAAATATTAGGTAAATTATGAAAAGATGGATAGTGATGAAATAGCAATGGAATCCAGTTTGACGCGTGTTTCGTCCTACCTAAGACTCATCAGCCGAATGTACCTACATCCCAGATTTGTTGATGTTCAATCTAGAACTCGAACCCAGTACTATTCGCCTCAAATACTAACACGTTATCCATTTAGTTGCTGAGTCCCAATAGTCACCTGTTTGTGCAATGGGCTGAAGTTTAAATTCACTTGATGTTGTAATTGATCAGTCTCTTGTTGGCGCATATGTACATCCTGTGAGGATTGTCTTGAAATAGACTTAAGTGACAAATTTTTTTAAACAAAGGCTAATAATAATGTACGACTAGATCTCATACACTTAACAGTATTTTCAGCACTACAATCTACTATTTATTTATGTTGAGTCGGCTTCCGCAGAACTTCAACGGAGCCTCCAGAGGCCCAAAAGGAGCCGAAGGGTCCTAGCCAATTAGAGTATGATGAGACGCTCTAGAATTCCAACGTGGCGTGCTACTATTGGTCGGTAGCATAATATGTCGTTAACGGATTGGCTGAAATATGATATTGATTTAACAGACGCCAACATCTATAAATACCTATGATTTTCTATACAAAAATGAACCTTGGGATAAAGTATTTTCTCTCATACTTGTGTCTTCTCTCTGGTGTTCAAGTCGCTGTGTAGTTCTAGACTGCGGGTTACTAGAATAGCTTAGGAAAAAGGAATATAGCGTTCGATCGACAAGACTTATCAATTTACCGAATAATTATGACATGTGTAAAACTCTGTAAACATTGAGTTACGCAAATAAATGGACTTTCCAATGTCATATGTTCAATTGAGTGTATGATTGTTAATGACAATGTATAATGTCTAGATCTCATGCTCTAGTTATTTGATCTTTATGACTGAACATTTAGCTCTACCGTCATATATATATGAAGAGAGAGAGCGAGAGTGTGTGTGTTATTATGTCGTTACTGAGGTGTGTCGTATTTTTAACACTCATTTCACTTAAAGTGTTGTATCCATTTTACCATTCTGGTTGATTTAACTTGTCTAGTAATAAGGTAAATAATTTAAGTAAATAATTCCACAAAACTAAGTGAGTATCAATGGAAATATACGAATATTGAGTTTTGGTGGGAATTTGTGACCAAATAAGTCCGATACGTGTTGGGTGGTGACAAGTATCTACCTCAAACAATGAATGAAGTGTTGTGCATGATCATGGATCAATTAAAGTTAGACGCTGACACTGTTGGATACCTATCTGTTCATTGGTCTAGAGATTAGGCGTTAGCACGTGAGTTCGAGTCCCTTCAGTGCATGATCGTGAATGCGCACTATTGAAGAGTATCACACTAATACGAAATGACTTTTAAGTGGTTCCAGATTTCCGATGGTTGTTTAGTTTAGATTGACTCATAAATGCAACTATTAAAATTACTACAATCTCAACAGATCGTCATTCTGTTATGAATACATCTTGATCTAACCTTATGAAGAAATCCTATTTGCAATCATTATGTAGTACTGTACAAATATATAATTTAAGTAGTGAAATAATTACGTTGACATCCAGTCGGAAATCATAAACAATGGAGTTTAATCACGTTGGTAATGCTAAAAAACATTGAATGATTATCATAGCATTACCATGAATTAATTCAACCTGGCTAGATGAATCATACAATTGTGAATTCAGGATTTAAATGTATCATACTCGATTCAAGATCAAGTTGTTTCTAATCAGATCAAAATGTTGGAATCAAACGATTCAGTCATTCTTTGAATGATAATAGTTTGTGATGAATTTAACTTTCATAAAGTTGATTGCAAAAAATATATAGCGTTCGATGCCGGCTCAGCGGTTTAGAGCTTAAACGTTCTCGCGCGAGACTGAAGGCCCTGGCTTCGAATCCCGCGAGCGGGATCGTGAATACGCACTGTTGAGGAGACCCACAATAGGACAAAAAGGCCGTCTAGTGTTTCTAGATTTTCAATGGTGGTCTAACATCAATTGGTTCATGGTCTCAATCAAATACATAATAATCTCCACAACCTCATACTGATAATACACAAAAGAGATTGATTATTAAAAAAGACACGTTGATATTTAATGGAATGCAGACAGAGTACAAGAAAATGTGTCATACAAATCCCACGTAAATTAATTTCAACATTTTGAGCTGGAAAACACACGTCTTTTAATATTAGCTACACGTCGTATTCGTTATAGATTGACCTCACTTAAGGTACTATCGAAACTCGAAAACTGTTGACACAACCGTTCAATTTCAGTACGAGACTGTTTAGGAGTTTATTATCCCCTAGTTTTCGATTCGACCCTGACTAAGATTATACTGAAATAGATATCTCATGCAAATAAGTCTAATCGTTCACTATACTCCGATATCATTTTAGATAGTTCATGGAGGTTGTTGAATTTCGTTGACACGATACACTAATATAAGTTAAACACCAGTGAAAACTAGGGAAATACTGTATAAACCACTGAATATCTAAAAGTTAGGGGCTAGCTATGAAACCCTAAAGTTTTTAGTTTACATTCAGGAGATCATCGGTGCACACTATTGAAGAGTTCGACACTAAAGCGATATCATTAAACTTTTTTATTATTAATTCACAAGCTTTTTAAACAAAGTTGAATAGTGGCTAGCAGTGGAATCCAGGACGCTCGTTTCGTCCCATTTAGGACTCGTCAGCTGAACGTACCTGAACATATGCGAACATGAGACTGGACAATTGGGGCCCTAAATAACAGCCGAAATATACAAGTAAAACAACGTCAAGTGAATTTTATCATTAATATTGCTAAGCAAGATCAACAGATCATTTTGATTAATTTATTTTTAAAAAATGCTGGCGCAATTTTCCAACCGAAGTGAATATAAGCAACATATGGAATCATACATTTGAAGAACATATGGAACTCAAAACAACTTTCAACCAATATCATAGTGAGAATCTTTGATACGAACGTCAAGACAGTCCTAGTATATGGAGCCGAAACTTGGAGAACTACTACAACCATAATCTAGAAGGTACAAGTATTTATAAATAGTTTTTTAGGCAAGATACTCAACATCCATTGGCCGGATACCATCAGCAACAGCCTTTTGTGGGAGAGAACAAACCAGCTTCCAACTAAAGAGGAAATTAGGAAAAGACGACGGAAATGGATAGGATATACATTACGCAAATCATCAAAGTACATCACGAAACAAGCACTAACTTGGAACTCTGAAAGGAAGAAAAAAAGAGGAAGGCCGAAGAACACATTACGTCGGGAAATAAAAGCAGATATGGAAAGGATGAGTAACAACTGGAAGGATCTAGTAAGGATTGCCCAGGACAGGGTTGGATGGCGAATGCTGGTGAGCGGCCTATGCTCCTTCACGAGGAGTAACAGGCGTAAGTAAGTAAGTATGGAATCACACGTATCGTCACAAGTTCGACAATTGATTAATATGGTAACTATGTATTATTTTTAACAAACTTGTTCTAAGAAACTAATATTGATTAGAGGAATAATGAAAGTTAAACAAAATTCAGGTTAAACAGAGTTACAGATCAATTTAATCTAGAAATACCATTGAAAACATGGAAACATTGGACAATCATTTCGTCTTAGTATAAGATTCTAATACTTTTAGGTGTTCATTGATGATCTAACTTAGATGAACTCATGAATTCAAGTGTTAAAATACTACAATCACCGAACTACATCACGAAGGAAGCTTTAACTTGAAATCCTCAATGGAAACGGAAAAGAGGAAGGTCAAAGAATACACACTATGTCAGGAATTGGAAGCAGATATGAAACGGATAAATAGAAACTAGAAAGAACTGGAAAGGATTGTCCAGCAGAGAGTTGGATGCAAAATGCTGATGGGCGACCAATGCTCTTCTACGAGAGGTAAAAGGCGTAAGTAAGTAAATAAGTAAGTATCATCAGTAAATAATTAAGACACATGAACTATGAAGTAAAAGTTAAAATTCAATTTTTTTTTAAAGAAAAAAGAATGGATTCACTTGATACTGTGTACTTGAATCTTCCCATTGATATTGAGGAATGTAATTGATCAGTCCGTCATTGGCATATGTGCATACTGTGCATATTGCCTGGATATTATCTTAATTCAAAAGTATTCTTAGCAAAGATGGATAGTTCAGCAGCGATTTGGAAGACTCTCTCGGTCTCCCACATTGTACGAACATTCCATGTACCTAAATTGATGGTTGCTTCGGTCATCAGAATGGGCATCATCCTCGTGACTTCCGAAGGAACTCGGCTTTCACCATGAGGCGTCATAACCCTTCTAAATGAAGACCTTCTAACTCCCGGGGCAGATTTTAAATGGTTTGAATAAGTTTTTTCCGGGTAGCGTTTGTTTTAACGATTTAGTTTTCTACAGGATGGGATCGCTAATCCCATGCCCAACCCTCCTCCTTTATCCGGGCTTGGGACTGGCAGTAGCCCTACAGGGGCTCCAGGCGTAGTGGATAGTGGCTAGCAATGAAATACAGGACAAGTATTTCGTTCTTTTTGCTACTTGTCAGCTAAATGTATGTGCATGACGTTAGAAGCAAAAGTTACTGGGTTCGACTCCGTCGAATTTGACATCAACTCTGAGTTACAGGTACTCATTGTACATGATCAAAATATCGTACTCAAAAAAATGTCTATTAAACGACATAATTGTTTATCAGAAGAATGATAAAAATCATTCAACTGAAGAGTCCCAAAGAGGATGAAATTCGTATCCTTGATTCCACTACTAATCACTATCTATCTCTGCTTTTAAAAAATGTGAATTTATATTCACTAATCTAAACAAGTTTATTCAATAGACAATTCACTTTCTATTTCATAAACTTTATCCGTGTGTAAACCAGTAAGTAA